AGCCCTTTTATAATAAAAAAAATCATTTCCACATGACTCTGGTTTATGGTATTTTCAAATGTAACTATAGTCAGCCTGTACCAAATTACAGCACCAGGGGCTAAAAAATATGGCTTTTATTTGTACTTATGATCCTGTTGAACTGTTCATTATAAAATTTTACCCAAAAATGTATAGTTTCAACCAGGACCACTTAGTTTACAGATGTCATACCCAATAATCAATCATTGTGCTCACCTCTAGATGTAATTTGAATTTTAAAAACCTACTAGTGATTAGTTTAGCTTGCATTGAAAGACATTAATCATATTTTTATGCGACCGCAGCCCATGGAACGACCGCAGCCAGTGGAACCATCATGTTATTGTTGTCGGCTTAATTATAATTTAATATTATGTAGATTTAATGAACACATTGTGTTGAGCATGCCCTTAGTGAAGGGGCCATCCACTAAGAGGGGAGGGTGTAATTGATTTTGGAGATTTTGTGTCCGGGGGTGCGTAATTGCGGGGGGGGGGGGGGTGCTAGGCAGAAAGTATGTACATTTATGCCAAAATTCTGCTATAATTATCCAGAAATTCAGACGGTCTCTTATAAATACATCTGTTTCTAATTATTTTTTTTAAAAATGGGCCCTCGCTCTGGAACCAGCTCCCCTTCCATATCCGTCATTGTGAAACCTCGTCCACTTTTAAAAAGTCCCTTAAAACCCATCCGTTTAGGTCCGCCTATGACCTGTGATGCACCCTCCTTGCCCTGCCTCATTTTCTGTCTCGGGTTGATCCTGTATTATAGGCCAAAACATGCCAAAGTGTCCTCGTTTTATAGCCATTTTAATTGTGTCTATAGTATAGTAGTTACTATCCTAGTGTCTCATTTTTTTATTTTACTTAGTTTACATGTTTTTAAATATTGTAAAGCGCTTAGAGCCTTAAGGTAAGCGCTATATAAAAAATGCCTAAATAAATAAATAAATAAATTCCTTTCCAATTGCTTCCAGGTGTATCCCATATTTTGCGTGTCTGCCTGTAGCTCGCGTCTCCTTGTATTCTTAGGCCTTCCTCTCTTTCTTTTTCCCTGCGGGTTCCATGTTAGGCATTGTCTGAGGGTTTTCGGAGCGTATGCTCTATCCACCTCCATCTTTTATTCATGATATCTTCATCAATGGGCACCTGGTATTTCCTTTCTAGTACATCTTTGTGGTGATAGTGTTTGGCCATAGGATTTTCAGGATCTTTCTAAGGCATGTGTTTATGAATGTCTGCACTTTCTGCATAAGGCTCACTGTTGTTTTTCAAGTTTCTGCACCATTTAGTAGGACTGCTTTGACATTTGTATCAAAGATTCTGACTTTGGTTTGCAGTTTCAGCTCCTTCGACTCCCATATTTTCTTTAATAGCACAAATGCTGATCTAGCTTCCCCAATTCTGGCCCTTACGCCCGCATCGGATCCGCCATTTGTGTCTATGGCGCTGCCTAAGTAATTGAAAGACTCCACTTCTTCCAGTGCCTTTCCTGCCAGACAATGGTGGGGTGGGCGGGGGGGGGGGTGCGAATGGCGGCGCTGCGTGTCTGGCTCCATTTTGACTCATGGCTATTCGGATGTCATTTTTGGTGGATTATTTTAGTTAAACTGAATAATTAAGTTTACAAACATATAATGATATAGTCTATTCAATTATCTTTCATTTGATACCCCATTTTGTCTTACAAACCCAACAATAAAACTTTAAATAGTTTTTTAAATCCCAACCTCTCACGTCTGGTACCAGGGTACGAATAGCCACTTCGTTGTTTTTATTCCCGTAATTCTTATACTGTGTCCTTATTTTAACAAGAAAAAATCAACCGTGGAAGTCGGGGTGGGGGTGGGTGGTGACACCGTGAGTTTACCCATGACGCACTAGAGTAGCCTACTAGTAGGTCGTGGTTTACCGCACCGGGTGACACCAACCCTAACTACGCCACTGTTTGGAAGCAACTGAAAAGAAAAACACAGGAAAGAGAAGAATGGAAAATTCTTGTATACCGCCTATGCCCCAGGCTGGGTAAAAAAACATAAGTAAATATTTTAGGTTAATGATTCTGTAATCTATCTAGGCCTACTTGGAATTTTTAAATAGGCAATTTTTTTAAAGAGAGTAAATAAAACTTTTATCAACTATGTGTTACTTTAAACTCTAAATTTTGTGATCATTTCATGACGAAGTTTACGTTGTCTTTAAACTTTTGTGATGATCATTTTTTTACAATTGCAAAACAAAAGAAATATAGTTATAATTACAAATCATCAACAAACTCAAAAAATTTAAATTTTCTGACACAGACATCCTAAAGTTCCTATAGACACCCATTTTTATGGGAGAGACTAAGGTATATCAGGCGGCTGTTCTCCCTACTCTTCTCTATGCCTGTGAAACGTGGACGGTCTACCAACGCCATGCAAGAATGCTGAACCACTTTTATACGGCAAGACTCAGAGAAATCCTCAATATTAAATAGCATGACAGGGTCCCAGACACTGAGGTGCTCACACGGGCAGGTCTCCCCAGTATCTTCACAATTGTGATGAAGTCCCAGCTTCGCTGGACGGGACATGTTGTGAGAATGTCATTGAGATGACCGTCTTCCCAAAAGAATTTTCTATGGTGAGCTTGAAAAAGGAAAGCGGTCTGCTGGCGGACAGAATAAAAGCCTCACTGAAAGCGTTCAACATAAACCCAGACACGTGGGAGGAACAAGCAAAGGACCGAACTTCATGGCGTTCCACTTTGCACAGGAGCTCCATGCAACATGAAGTTGGCAGAACAGCGGCTGCAGAGCGCAAAAGACATGCCAGGAAGGCCCAGTCTGACTCTGCTCTCGGGGATGCGCTATCATTCCCCTGCACCTACTGCACAAGAGGATTCCGTGCCAGAATCGGCCTCATTAGCCATCTGCGCACCCACAGACAGAACCAGCACAAACTCTGATGATTAAAGTGGTCACGGTCGACTCCCTAACAACACATGGGGGAAAAAATACGACGTGGCAGCATACACCGCAGCGGTCTACATAGCAAAATCATGGGCTTTAGCCTGGGTAAACCGCGGGAATTTTTTTTGTTTGCCTGAGATGCGCCGATATCGCTCATTTGAGCCTTCGTCGTTTTTGTGGCTCGCGCTTGTTCCACTCATCGTCACATTTACTTAGGCCAAGAATATGAAAGTTTTGAATAATTTGATAAAGTGTTAAATGACTTTTCCAAAGAGAGATGCCAACTTTTTTCTTAGAAACTCACAGACAATAGAATCCACCAAACAAAACTAAATACAATATTGACAGTTGACAACCTTGAGGTGGGTAGTGGTATGATCCAAAAGCGGCCATAGTGACTTAAGTTACAATCATTTTTTTTTTAATCTATAGGATCCATTTTGTGATGAACTATATTTTTTGGAAATTTCATTTTAAATGCATCAACGATTCTTTGTCATGATTCAACTTCTAAGACCGAAGAGACTAGAGTTCTGACTTATTATGTTGCACACCAGCGGTAACTAGTTGGTTCTTATTTATACGTTTGACGTAATAGGAACATTCAATTCATAATTGGTGATTTCGAATGTATAATTATATACTATATTATTTACAAATCAATCAAGTATAGAATTATTCAAAATAATATGATGAATCCATGAAATGTAAAGAATATTACTTAATAGTGATGAATTACAAAATGTAAGTAGTTCGAAACTGCGCCTAACAAATTTTCCTGCCTACAGATACCAGAACCATAACAAACAATATGTAGGCCATTTAACTAAGGACTTCACGCTTCTGCTTTGTTGTATTGCAGAGCGTTGACAATTTATATAATTTTTATCGTAACTTTTATTATCTAATTGTTTATTTTTTCAAAGTTTGTTTCATAGCGAGTGAGAGTGTCACTGAGAAATAAGGCAAGTTTTGAATGGAGTTTTAAGAAGCCCAGCCTAACTCAACTATCTATCTCTCTAAACTCTAAATTCTAAATCTAATCTAGTCTATAATTTATAATCTATCATAATTTTTAGTCTATGTCACACTCAATGTGGCTAAACTAAATACTAATTAAATACGGCTCATCTGAATAGTGATCATAGTGAAGTTGAGGAAGTGTAGTGTCACTGCGGACTCAAGTTAGCTTAGTCTGCTGCTGCTGGTTAATTAGCAATTGAAAAGTTAGGCTATTATTTATTATTAGTAGTAGTAGTAATGTTAACTAGTGTATTAGTTGGATTCAGATGAAGTCTTACTATGACTCATGACACCTAGCCTAGGCTTACACTACCAGCACTTACACTAGTAGGACTAAAACTAAAGTCTAAATTACCAAAATGTAATAGTTAGCTAAGGACAGGTAGTCAGTCAAAATTAAGTCCAACCTAGCGCCTAGCTGACCATATGGTAGAATATGATTATGACTTATGAATACCACATTTTTCCAAAATTACTCCATTCCCAATGCCAATTACAAGCAGCACATCTACTTAGTCTTTGAATACTTCCCGTTGTTCACATATATCTGTATTTTTATTTATTGCGTTTCCAGTTTTTCTTACAGGCATCTTTCCAAGGGGGCATTGTCTATATGTTATTAATTAATATGATTTTTCAAACTGACAAAAATAATATATTATTATCCTATAATTTTGTAAATATAGTTAGACTATTTAGATTCCAGAAGTGAAACTTAGCTGGGGCCAAAACAACACACTCAGGGGTGCCACAACTGGATTAAATTTAGTTAATATTGGGTGATGAGGGTGCAAATATAGTTGATAGATACACTGTCCAGGGTTAGCGCTGCCCAGAGTGGGGCAAATTTTTTGCCATCCCCCTTCTATGAATAAAACAGACCAAAAATGCCACCTCTTCATAAAGAGAAAATATTTGTTTATTTTTTTGTAAAAGCAATTTAATAATTAAATAATAATGAAAAGTTAAAATAATATTCTCCTTAAAATTTAAAAAAAAAATGCAATTACTGTATTGTAAAAATCAACAACCAATTATCAGTTTCGAAACTGATAACCAGAAATTCAATTATCGTTAACATCCTTAATTAATACTAGTACAAACTTATTTTATAGTTAGAGTTTATAGACAGGTCTAAAAGTAATATGCTAATATATTGCTAATAATAATACTCAGTTTTGAATCATTATTTAAGTTAGGACTTAATAACTGATTATCTTTCAGTTAAATGATTTAGAAAAAATGTGTATTTAGTCATTCATGCAGTAAATTCTATATAAACAGTGCATCTGAAAGGGTCACTGTTTAATCCATGCCTTGCCGTTTCTCATGTACCATAAAAGCCAAACGGTCCATCCATTCTTTTCTTTCAGAAAGTCAGGTTTATACTCCCGCTCTGGATATAAATCTATTATGATGGCTGGTCACCTTTCTCAAATTGATAAGTCATTGAACCAAAAAAGTGCATTTCAGTAAATAATACTCCAACATGGGTATGGGTGTGCCACTGTTAAATGAGTATAAGCGGGCGTTCTTGTATAAGCGGATACCACAGACTGTCCTAGGAGGGCTAAAGGTGAAACTCGGACATGAGGCCCCATTTTATGTTTATGCCAATCAAGTAAGTAGCTTCTAAAAAAACACAACACATTTTTGGCGATATCACCAAAATTTCTAAATGCAGTCATCATTGTGGTTATTCTGTTAATGCTGTGCCTGAGCATGTAATTGATGAAAAATAAGGAATCAGTTATTATATATATCAGAACTAACAAGTTTGTCAAAGTTAAAAAATTATTTTTAATTTCTAATTAGATCTCATCAAATCAATAGTTTTTTTGTGTGTGAATTATTGTTAAAATTTCTTTAAAAAATTTGCCTTGGCTGAAAGATTTTTCTCAACATGTTTTTGTCCTTTATCAAACTTGTTTATGTTATGCTTTGAAAAGGGGTCAATGTTTCTCAAATCATGGTCCACCCACGGATGCCAATCCGCAAGCCTTATGTTGCTGGTCCACACAACATGAATATTTATGGTGAAAAAAAAGAAAATGTAATTTCTGGCACCGGCCCCTAAGATGTAATTTCAAAATGTGTCCACCTGTCTGCCAAACTTAAAAGTTGGGAAACGCTGGTTTAGATTAGAAATCAATGAACTTAAGCAGTCTGGACGTTAGAAACAAAAATAAAAAAAAAAAAAAAAAAAAAAAACTTTTGATTATTATTGTAAATAAAATAAGTAAGTTCCAACTTTATTTCCAAACCTCTACACTGTGTTAAAATTACTTTTTTTAATATTATTTTTTCAATACACATGCTTGAACTGTGACCACACATTTTGATTCAGATTGCATTGTGGCTGGTTCCTGTGTTACTTGGTTGCATCTTCACACTAGTTCTGGAACTTGCCTACACAGACGATCAGATTGGAAACTTTCTTCCATTGTACAGCTGCTTGTTTGGTGCATGTATTATCATTTTTGTCGTGGTGGTGCAGACAATTACGACTGTTGTCGAGATGAAGGAGAAGGAAAACCTACATATTAGTGTAAAAAGGAAGAATGTTTTGGCGGACGAAGATGAAATCGACTTTCAGTCTTGCTGTGGAGCAGAGACTCTAGCTTTTGTCATACCACCCAAAAGATTTAAAATAAATATAGCTCTGCATGCTTTGTTATCAGGTACATATATTTTGAAACCTTGTCCCAAATTTATTTTTCTTTGACCATCAAGTTGAGCATAAAAAATTAGCTCTTGAAATGAAAATGTTTTGTTAGAACACAGATTGAGTAAAAACTTTTATATAAATATTTGGTTACTGTAAAGAGAAAAGTCTTTTCTATGCTTGTCCAGTTAACTAGATTATGACAACTGATAATATTTTTTTTATAGAGCTCAGCATTCCCCATACATTCATCTTTGTTTAGAGAGGATATCATGTTTCTAAGTGCAATTTGTTTCTTCAAATTAGGTGCAGTTTGTGGCCTGGGATTTTGGTACTTGCTACCCTACTCCATAAACAAGCTGTACTATTACAATTATGGTGCAACCACAGCCATTTTTGTACTGGGGTGGTTGACCATTAGCATTACTCAGTACTCGCTGACCACTACAGCACCCCCCGAGCCAGCAATATATCGTACTACAGATTCGCTTGAGATGCTACCACTTACACGACCCCTTTATGCTCTCATATGTTATAGCGTACATATAGCAAATTGGTGGGTAAAATGTTCATTGCCAATGGCAAAAATAAATGTTCACAGCTAATTTAAATTCATGAACTAATTTGGAAAAAAAAATGTACAATTTAAGAACAGATTATTCAATTAATTTTTAAAAAAAGCTTTTTAAAAATTATTTATCTATGATTGATTTTCAACACACTAGAGTTTGTGATATAAGATATTTATTTAAAATGCTTGATCTCTCAAAACAAATATTAAAATCAACCACAACTTTGAAGAAAATGAAATGCACTGTCACTTTTACATACAATTTTTGAAAACAAAGTGAAGATTATTAGATTGTTGTTGTTTTTTGCTGTGTGTATCATATTTTTTGCCTAACACACTTTTTCAATCAGAAAGATCCCATTCTATGCTTTGTGTTTCTATAAACTAAAATCAGATTTTGCTGATTGTATGCATGCACTTTAAATTGCTTGAGAATTATTTATTCAGTAAAAAAAAAAATTATACCGGTACTCAAATTTATCTTAATGAAGTTTCCAACTGTCCAGGCTGTCTTCACATTAATATTTCTCAATTCAGCAGCAAGACAACGATGGTTGGGGGTGAGGGGTGGCTCTCGTTGTTAAAGCAAAGTAAAAAAAAAAAAAGGAATAGTATGAAATAAAAATAAAAATATACAATGACTGATCATGGGAATGCTTTTTTTGTTTATTTTTTTTTTTTAGGTACAATCCTGAACTGTCTTTTCCAAATCAAGCTCTACACTTTGTGTTTGTATTGCTGCCACTGAAAAATAATAAAAAAAAAAGGATTAGTATGAAATAAAAATAAAAATATACAATGACTGAGCATGGGAATGATTTTTTTGTTTATTTTTTTTTTTTAGGTACAATCCTGAACTGTCTGTTCCAAATCAAGCTCTACACATTGTGTTTGTATTGCTGCCACTGCTATGGTTCATTGGTCTTCTACCTTCAGCTGAAGTTTTGTTTTTATGGTTGCTAGAGCAATTCCTTGTCTTCATGTTGGGGGGCTCACCTGCTGCCTCGAACCCAAGGTATTTGTGTCATTTTAAGCTTTTTCACTCAGCTGGTTGATCTCACATAGTTTTGAAGTGTAAAAAAAAAAAATTGTGTTTAAAATATATGTTATAGCTATAATGTGATGTTAAATAATATTTTAATCATGAGGTTTGGAAGGGTTGTTTATATATATATAATATATATACATAGAGAGAGAGATTTAAAGAAAGGTATACTTCTAAGTTATCAAAGAGCTTGTTATGCAAAATGCTGTATTCTGGCTCCACATTTGGAGTATTTTAAACAAAGTATACGGATGAGTTTTTTCCCTTTGGGTGAGAATCATTGTTTATTTTTTTGACTAGGTTTTAAGAAATAAAGTATACTGAAAATCTTTTAAGTAATGTTAAAGGAGATACCCCATTGCATATGATATGAAAGAGACTGAAAATGCCTCATAATTTTTCTTCTGCAGACTTTTGTTCAGTGTCATCTTAGCAGCCGGAGCTTTCCTTGGCTGCTACTTTCTTAATACCTGCTTCAGTGCTGTTGTGTTTGCAGCACTCACAGGTTATCTCCTCAGTTGTGATTTAGGATCTTTAGGCACGCAGGTGGGATGTAGCTAAATGTTTGACTCAATTCTGAAATTTTTCTCTTAATAATTTGCTGGCATCCGTCCGTCACAATGTGACGATGGAGTGGGCTTCGTAGGACGAAATCCACATAGCCTGGGATTATTATACTTGAAGGATTATAAGCTGGTTCCCAACAGCAAATCGCCTCTCTCCACGCCGCTGGGTAACCCAAGGGAACATCATTGGATGATACAGCTTGGCACCAGTGACGTCGCAGGAGTTGTCGGAATGTTTCATTGTATCAATGTTATCCGCCTTTCGGGACTCCATCTCCGGGTTTGATTTCAGAGTTTCCTTCTCTTAGATGAGTTGCCGTCCAAGGTTAACGAGTCCCATCTACCCGAGGTGCTGGTGGTGTTTTTGCTCTAGCTGGAATTGAACTCCAGACCACCAACTTGAGATTTGCTCAGTTTAGACCACTCGGCCACAGAGAAATCATTAATATCCTTAACGTGATTTCACTCGAGCTATTTCGTTGTAACTTGGTTAAATCTTATAGACAAAAATATTTTGTTGACCCTGTCCATGAAATTGTTGATATCATTCATGAAGAAATACAAATTATTAATTACCTTAACTTCTGACTATCAACAATAAAATTTATTAAAATAATACTTTTTAGTGTCTTTGATATTATTTCTCTTCATTACTTGAAAAATTATATTAATTTAATTTGTTTAAAAATATTTATTCATAAAATTGTTTCAGATTTGGGCAGCTTTTTGTAAGAGCAACAATAACAGAGTGGCTTCAAATCGGCCATCTATTTTAGCATCCTTAGCCCCACAGCATGGAACTGTCCATGGATTCTTGTGGTCTTGGTGTTGGTCCACTGTCCTCTATCACATTTCAATTTTAGCAGTTGTTGCTGTGGCTTCAGGCGTCACAAACTACCATGTCAACAAACTCTCTGCAGACGTTGTCAAGATCATTGGATATTGCATAATTTGTCTGTGTGTTCTGGAAAAAACTCTGAGAGATCTACAGAGTGTGTTTGTCTTCTTTGGCCTTTGGAGAAATCCTTTGTTTCCCCACAATTCACAATCGCCAAAGCAGTTTACCAAAGTCAAGAGGCGCCTGGTTGTATTCGGGACACTTAGACGCATTGTTGTCAGCTGGGGTGAGTGCATCTGGATCACTGTCTCCTGATTTAGCTATATATAAATATGAATTTATCATTTACCTCTGTATTAATTTATAAATTAGCTTCAATTCTTTATTAATTCTATACATATATATACCTCCAGGATGGCACTACTTATCTGCAATTAATTGGTAATTGGCCTATTCAATCAGTTTACAACTTAATCGGCGAGACCTTATTTTTATTTTTTAAAAATTAATTTGAAAATGTTATAAAAATAAATACTCACTCTTGTTCCCCGTAATCAGTGCTGTCAAAATAGGGGGGTAAACATCATATAACTTGTACCAGCGTATAGTCTCTTCTCAAGAAATCTACACATAGCCTTTTCTGTTCCCTATAGTATCTCTCTACACCAAGCCTTTTTGTGTTCCATTCACCATCTCCCTACGTATAGCCTTTTTCTGTTCCATACAGTATCTCTCTACACAAAGCCTTTTTGTGTTCCCTACACTCTCTCCCTACATATACCCTTTTTCTATTCCCTACAGTATCTCCGCTATTGATGGTGGTTTATTTGTCCCTACAAGTTGGCAGCTCAGATGTAATGCTAGTACCCATGACTGATGGCATGTCCACATCTATGAGTATTATATTTGTATTCAGCACAGTTCGAGCTTTTAGATGGGTAAATTTCCTAAAAGTAATCTGGAATAGTTAATGATTTAAGCCGGGGAACTTTCATAGTTAACTATCCCTGAACTATAAATCAAATTTTAATGCTGCATTATAATTTGTTAGAATAGGTTGACACCTTTAAAAGATGTGTCCAATCTTTTTTAATCTAGTCTAGATATTAAAATATTAATCATACAATTCATCCTGTTGAAAGTTTTTTAATGTTTTAAATATGTTAAATGTATTTGTGTTACCGGTATATTTGTAATGTGTAATGTTAACTCATAACAAAGCATATTTATTTATTTTGAAAACAATTTAATAATTAAATAAGAGTAAAAAGTTAAAATAGTATTCTCCTTAAAATAAAAAATAAGAAGTTTTGTGATTATCGTTTTTTAAAAATCAACTTCTGGTTATCCGTTTCAAAAATGATAACCAGGAATCAGATTAATGTTTAACATTCTTAATTAATACCAATGTTAACTTATTTTCTAGTTATAGTTAATAGATAGGCCTAAAAGTAACATGCTAAAATATGAATAGTTTTTATTTTACCGTTTCTCAGGTTTGGCAGAGCACCACACATGCACTGCTAGAAACTTCAGTGATCCACATAATTCTGATAACTCTGTCAGGCAACCTCCTGGTGCTGGAACTGAGAGCACCTATTCTCCTGCTCATAGCCTGTGTTGTCAGAGACAGACTTTACCAGTTTGCCAACAAGCTCTACTTTGTTTTGGGTTTGATGATATCCTCGTGGACAGAAAAGAAACAGCGCCGGTCCTCTACAGCAAGAATCCTGATCCTCAACTCCATTTTCTTCCCCGTCGTCCTGGCCATCGCTGCCGCAGCGTCTGCCGTCTCAGCTCCGCTCCTCTGCTTGTTCACGCTTCCTTTGTTTTTTATTGGATACCCCCGGCCTGTCAGGTTTTGGCCGGAGCCTGTGGGTTCTTCTGCCAGTACATGTGTTGATACTCTGTACTACAGGCAGCTAACTGTAGAGCTGGCCAAGGCATTGAGATGGGCATTCGCTAATGGCAGTTTGGGTAAGTCATAGTTTATAAGGTTTATTGGCATTGTTTTGTGCGTGTAACAATACAACCAATTCATTGCCAAATTTATGTAAGATAAATATGTGTGAGCGGTATTCCTATAACTAACTGCTGTGGCCATTATTTTATGAGGCTTTCTTTGAAAAGTTTGGTAAGATACCGTGCCTTTTCACCAGCATGCTTTTAAACAAGAGGCATTGTGGTTTGAAGTAACCCATTTTTTTTTTGAAAGAGGCACTTTTAAATCTGATTTTATTCATTGGTGTTCGTCAGGTGAACCGCAGGTAGGCAACCATTACCTGATAAGGTATCAGGACAGGCTGGTCTGGACCATGGTCCTAGAGAGAGGCGCTGGCTTCTGCACGGTGAACATCAAAGGCCTAGAGCTGCAAGAGACCTCTTGCCACACGGCCGAGGCTGCCAGGATAGACGACCAGTTCACCGAGGCTTTCAACGGTCAAACCAACGGCTTTGCCTTGTGCTCTTTCAACAAATATCCTCTGCACAGCATGACACCAGTGGATGCCGTTGAGCTGAGGACTTACTCTGACGCCCGGAATGTTTTAATAGGTGTGATTGACTCCCCAGAAAGCGTAGGGGTCACACTGTCGTTCTTTGTCAAGAGCCTTATTTGGGTGCTGCTGCACCACATCAACAAACTGAAGCAGAAGGAGGAGATGGCCAAGAAGATGAAGGAGAAGGAGATTGAATTGATGAAAGACATCGGCAGAAACTCGAGTGGTTTCTGCGTGAAATGTCAAGTCGGCGGCAAGGACGGCACAGGGGGAAACAAGAGAAAAGACAAAGTCAGTGTGGTGAACAACAACACTGCCCCAAAAGAACTGAACCACAACATGACTGCCGCGAACAGGACACAGAAGACTGCAGCTCGCCATGCTGCAGCTGGTGGTGATAGCTTTGCCCTGCCACCTTACAGCGGACACAAATCCAATCCCGTCCACATTTCCCGTCCAGGCTCAGGGGGCTCCAACTCCTCCCGCAGGGTTTCGTTGTCCTCTTCACTTCACAGCTTCACTGACAGCATCTGGTCGGATGATTTTGACCTCGATAAAAATAAAAAGAAATCCGGCCCTGTAAAAAATCAGCATAAGATATCCACCGTTGTTTCCATTACAAATAATTCCAATAGACTGGCGTCCGCACATTCAGTATTAAGCACTTTGCCTCCCCCAGACACTACCAAGAAGCCCACAGGGGCTTATCATGACGGTGGCCTTTTTAGAGACCATGAAGTGATAGACGATGTTGAGTATGGTCTGCCTGCTGTGGATATCAATGTGCCTCGCACTCGTCCAAACATTGACTTTGATGATGCGTCCAAGTCAGCTGAGGCTGCCAGTGGCGTGAAATCCTTGTTTTCATCCAAGCCTATTTCAAAGTTCATGGTATCTAATGGTAATCACATCTACAAGCCTTTGATGAATTTGGCTGGCTCACCAGATTTCAAGTGCCAGTACTCAACACATATTAGGTAAGATGCAGTATTATGTTGTAACGAAGTGTAAATCAGGGCTTTGGTAATATGGCATGTAATAATGTAATAATAGCAGAGACTTATTTTATTGTTTAACTGTTATGAAATTTTAAATTATTTAAACAAAATATTTTTTTTTACAGATTTGTGTTTAATTTATTTAAGCAAATCCAGTCACGGCAAAATTTTTCCTTCCTTCACATGAGGCAATTGTTTTTTTGTGTGTTCATTTATCTTATATTTGACTTAAAATTACTTAGTCAAATAAGCGTTAGGAGCTGTATTTGCAACTATACTTCTTTATTCATTTTAAGTATTACATTTGTGCATGTGTTGGGGTGCCAACAGAAAATTTCGCACAAAAGAATCAATTATCTTGATTAGATTTTAATATTTAAATATATGCGATCTGCTACTTTTGCAAATTATACAAGTACTTCTTGTGCAGTAATAAAATACTTCAAATAAAATTCAAATGAGTTTGGGACATTCCCTTGAAAATTTCTACGTGTGATTTAAACATAAAAAGTATAAAAATACAAAGGAACCAGAACTATGCTGCTGCAATGTTACCCTGTCTCTTATGCGTACATTATAATACAGTGTACCAGTGAAATGGCGTGAGCTGCCCATTGAGCCATCCCAGCTGGCCCGCTACACGTCCCAGTTTCCCACAGCTTGGTACAAACACACACTTTGCACACTGGATTGGTCAGTCACGGAACAGCCAGGCCAGAAAGTGGCAGATGATGTTGGAACAGACGATGCACTGACCAACTGCTACACTCAGCTGGTCATGGCCTGCTATTCAGCCTTTGACACACCTGGTAAACTCACTTTAATCACATTTGTTTACTCTTACAATTTTTGGCGTACAATGTAAGATTTTGAGGTGTATATATTATATATATTGTATGTTTATTTTTTTTACTATTAAGTTAATGTATTGGACGATTTTGTGATGACATTGTACGTTTTTTTAAAGAGTTTGAGAGTAAACAGGTCTGCTTTATATGCTCGGTGGTTGTGATTTCAATTTAGTCTTTAAAAAGAGCATTTTTTAAATACTTGTCCCACATTTTTTTTTTAAAAACCTATGTTATCATTTAAGTCTGAAAGAGAAGATATTATTTTTTTGTTACCGTATTTTTAAAACATACTTTCTTTAAGAAAAAGTATCTTTATGTGAACCCAATTCAGATATTATATCACAAATAATAATTCTCTAGGTATCTATTCATTGCTGTAACACTGTGTGCAAAATAAAATTCCCAGATGTTAGCACTATTTGGGATTCTTAAGTGCGTTTCTTGAATGCAAGCTTTGTCATGTAACTTTAGTAGAGGGGAAGTTTACGCATTTCTGCTGCCATTATTTGGTGGGCTATTTCTAGTTATAGAATAAAATTCTTCCGATATCTGTTTTTGAAGTTATATTATTTCCCGTAGGACGACCTAATGGTGCTAGCTACCTGTATAAATGCTACAATGGTGATGTGCCGTGGAATGCCATGATGGACTGGCTTGCGGAGGACAGAGAGCTGTACAAGTTGGTTATCAAGGCTTTCAGGTGAGCATCCCCTTTAAGTTCAGAATGTGTCTGGATCTGTCAATAATTCAATATCTTGGATGTTCGCAGAACTCGAGTCCACAAGCTTTAGATTGACTCAGTTTAGACAGCTTGGCCAGCCAGCACCCTGTGCTGATTAGGGCTAAAAGAGTAGATGCTCTTGACATTTATGCCAGTAAGACAGAAATGGGCAACTCTTAACATGCAAATCTGCTCTGTACGTTTTTAAGCCAGTAAGCCAAAGTTTAACACAACATTGTCGAACCCAAAACAGTCAGTACTGATGTACAAGGTAAAGGAAGTCTGGTTAAGGTGTGTGCAGTAAATTGCTTTCAAATCTTTTTCAATCAGTAGGAAATTCTATCTTTTCTTTTTTAATTTTGTGATTTAAAGCCATCTGTGGTCCTGTACAAAGACTCCCTACAATCCCATACAGAATCTCCGTAATACCTGAGGGGAAAAAATATAAAATATATGCATAAAACTTGTTTTCCCTGTCCTTGTGCCGAACAAGTATTTTTTTTAATATGAAACCTGGCAGGCTAACTTCTGTAATCAGCTTGTACCAATTTAAGCAATGAAAATGGCCTCTCACACACTCCTTTGCCGTAAGTGTTGGGCCACACCAGCCGGGCTCTGATCATTGGCCCAGTTTTCAACATTTTCAAAACACCTGAATTGAATACAGAAATCGGAAAACATCAAAACTGGAGTACAAAAGTAAGGGAAATAATAACAGCATTAATTGACCAGAAGAAAATGATAATAAAGTGTCCCTCACGTTTGTGTGTATAGACATCCAACAGTCTAAAGTAAACTGAAGAGTAAGATTTTTTGTAATAATACCCTAATCCTTAAAATTTGAAGAGTTTCTACCTCATTTTCTCAGCTGTAGATAGAATAATTCCCTAATGTTTTTAAACGGTTGTGTGCTGTTCATTACAAAAAGCAGTCTTGTCAATATATGGAATATTAAAAATTTTTATTCTGTTTTGTCATTTTAAAAAAAGGCACTTCAACTACAAGGACATTGATAAGTCATCAATAGTTTTACATTTTTCCATTAAGTTTTCTATTCTATATTATTTTAATCGCTGAAAATTAAAACTCTTAATGCACAATGTAATTAAGGAAATAAAAGAAGTTCAAAGAAAATAACATACAAATGCATAAGAGTTATGAATCCTCAAATAATAAAAGTAAACATTGTCTAACAAACAATAGCACTGATAATAGGATAGTCTTAACAAAAACATGACTGGTGAATTTTGGCCCTGAGGATACACCATTGATGAAAATTGTAAATGATTTCCTCCCTTGATGTGCAGGTACGGCTTTAAGTTGATGATAGATCAAACTCTCCTTGGAGAAATCTCAGACAATGATGAGCTAGAGGAGTATCTACGTAGCTACGATGACGACTGGTACATTGGCAAGGACACTGATCCAGAATGGGGCGTGTCGGTCTTGGAGAACCGCAACAGCTTGTTTTCCCTAGGCTTAAATACTGCACAGGTAAGGATATTCTTTGGGATATTTTACAAATATTAGTTTATTCTATATAGTTATTGACAAGATTACTTCTCAAACTGAGCAATCTTTGATTAGCTGTTGATACCCCACCTCCCTCCCAAAAGTAGCGGAATAACTGAATCACAGGTTGCTTTCTTTAACATGTAAAACATTGTGTTGCAGTTAATTATTTCCAGGCTCGCCAACCTCTCAATACGTGATTGCTTAATTTAATGGGTTGTTACATATTTTTAGAAGACAAATTAATTTTTGAGTAAATAATTTCAAAAAGAGAGCAACAACAAAAAATCAATTAAAATCTTACTTCAACTTATTCAGGGGATATTCACGAGTCGCACCCTAACCCTCCAAGACGTCATGGTTCACATGGGACGCATCAATCGTGAGAGTGTGATGGGCCAGTGGGCCAATCTCAACCTTGAACTCTTGTACATGACCAACGACGATGAGGAGCGCTACTCTATTCAAGCTTTGCCAGCCATGCTGCGGAACCTCACAGTCCAGGCGGCTGATCCACCCCTGGGTTACCCAATCTATTCTTCCCCACCTGTATCTGTGCCCACAATATAGCACTGTAAAGCAAATGTTTGGCCCTGTGAAGGAAATAATTCCAAAACTGACTCCATGAGAAAAATGGCAAAGCTACCTTCCATTTTGTGACCAGCGACTCTCAAATTTAAACCAGCCTGTTGGTTTTGTTTTGGTTAGAACTGGCTTGTCCTGTCTCAGATATACACCCATGAAGTAGCTTATTCTCAATTCCAGGGAGTTTGAAAACATTTCACGAATACGGCATGCTGTTTTGGGACCCAAAGGAAATGTTCTGCCTCCGTGATGTAAGCTTGGCGCATTGTTTCCCCACTGAGCGAGAATTCATGCTCGCCAGAGTATGGCATGACGCAGCTGTACCAGTTTGGACTGACAAAGCTATAAACATTGCTGTGTGGCTCAGTCTTACTTGGCCATTACTTTCCCCCCCCCCCCCCCCGTGTGAAGGCTGGTGGGTTTCCTGCTTAAAACACCTTCGCAGATAACCAGTCTGTGTTTTAGGCACATAACATTCCTCAAGTGTTTGTTTTTTTCCACATACAACTTGACATGGTCATACTGTAATGTTTTCATGTCTATTTGACAGTAAGCATTCTGCTTAACTTGTCTTACAAAAACTGACACAGCACAAACTGACACAGCACAAACTGACACAGCACAAACTGACACAGCACTGCCATTACCAAGCTTACACAGTAATTATCATAGCAGTCCCACAAGTTCAAGACTTGTTTTAGTAAACTTATTTCATTGTACCCAGTTACTTTTTAACACGCCTTCCAAGAGTTTGGAACTCATGCCTTCCAAGAGATTGGAACTCATGCCTTCCAAGAGATTGGAACACATGCCTTCCAAGAGACTGGAACTTTTTGACAAAACTTTACAGACTATGACCAAAAAAAAAGTATGTCTTATGTAGGTCTCCTGACAAGGACATATCATATTCCATTTACTATTTGTAATTAATTGTTTTTATCTGCAGCCAACAAATTGTAAAATGGATTGACTTATTGTGTAATGTTTGTATAATTATAGAGCTGACCAGCAAAGATTTTCATCAAAATCACAGAACTTTTGTCATGAAACTGATAGCTCAACCAATGTAAACATTTATCTTGCTTCACCACCTGCCATATTACATCAATAAATAGAACATCAAATTCTCGTTATTAGATAGAACAGACCTCACAGGAAGGCCACACATTTAAAGGAAAACACATACAGAGAAATACACCTTTGGAAATATGACTTTGAGTATCTAATTATAGATTTTTAAATGAACATATTAATTTAACTTAATTAACTCAACCGAGCCGAGACAACAGCAACAGAAATTTTGGAAACTCATCAGCTGGACGCGAAGCTGGAACCTGCACCTTCTGAGAGACTAGATTGTGCCCTGAGTCAAGCTGTGAAGCACCCCTCCTGATGTATTGAAAGAGATAACAAACTGAGCCAATAGGAATTGAAAGTAACACCTTCAGTTTCTTTCTACTTTCCTTTAATATTGGCGAGTATAACATTTCATTAATCTTTGGCTTTTCCTGCATTTGAAAGCAATCCAACACTCCACAACGAAGACTTGATGTGGTGGGCTTTGCTCGAATGGGATGGTGATCCTCATGATAATCATTTTTTTAATTAGTGTTGTCCTTGTTATTGTTTTAAATGTTTCTGTGCTGTTGAAGGGTTCCCTTTAAAAATACCAAAATTAATTTTAAATTCTTTTAATTTATTGACCACCTGTACAAAATATTTTATGATTCCATGTACGCAATTGAGTGGTTTTTTGTTGAAACAGAATGAAATGGGAGCTGTGCCAGTAATGTTAAGAGAGTTGGGAGCTGTGCCAGTAATGTTAAGAGAGTTGGGAGCTGTGCCAGTAATGTTAAGAGAGTTGGGAGCTGTGCCAGTAATGTTAAGAGAGTTCCCACTTTTATTTTGTTAATGTTTTGGTTGTTCTAAAGGAGGGTTGTTCCGATGAGGGGCAAGCTGGCACATTTCTGATTAATTAGCAGGCAGGCCACAAGGTTAAAAATACTGGAAGAAAGCATTTGGGGAGAGGGGGGGGGGAGTGAAGAAAAGGTTTCCCCATAGACTTGCACTTATGTTGTTTGGTACCCGACCACATTTGAAAAAAATTGAAGAAAAAGATTGATCTAAAATTATATGTAACTTCTGGGTAGCATTTTTTGATTTCTAAAAGTCAGATTCTGATTAATTGACAGAATGACACTTTGCTTGTTTATAATAATTATTTGCAACCCTATACTGAAGCATTGGCTGTTTTGTAATGACAAATGTCACAACAATAATGGAACAAATAAGAAATAAACTAATTATGTACATGGCACATTGAATTGTTCAGTAGAACGTTTCATGCAGCACACAGAACAGTTTATTTTAGAGCACTCGGAACAAGAGATTCATACTGATGTACCGTCCATAAACATGTTTTTTTTTCTAATTTTATTATTCAATGCCTGCATAGTTTATGCCTGAATGTAATTTTAATTTATGCCAATGTATTATGAAATGACTAAAAATGTGTTGTCTATATTGATTACTGAATGTGTACAGACTGAATCTTTTATTACCACAAAGTAAAACCCTGTTACTTTTACAAGTGCCCAATTTTTTTTATTAACAGTTTTCTCTTAGGCTTTTTTAATGATTCGAAAGGGGGGGTGGGGGGTGTGGTTTAAATCAGGCTCTATGATCAAATAACTTACTTATTTTAAATTAAACAAATGTAATACTTAATAAATTTGCTAAAGACATTATTTTTTATTTTTTAAATTCAATCTCTTTTTTTGCCTGAGCAATAGTAAATATATTGCAGACCTTTTGCAGTTAATTCAAATCGTGAATACTAAATTAATAAAACTTTTTAGCCTGAGCAATTTTAAATCTTACAATATTTTTCGGTTAATTGAAATAAATTATATCATCATCATTGAGATCCACAGGACTTTTGGGCATGTGGCATTCAGCTTGCGGCCATGAAGAAGAATTTGCACACTCAGCACAGCTGTTCTTTGTTGGTATATAGAGTACTGGTGTATTCTGGAATTTTTGGTAGATAGTTATATGCGCAAGTCCTGAAGTGCTGGGCAGTAGAAGAGGGGATGTGTTACTGCCTCAATTGGATGTTTGCCACGGGAGGAACATTGGTGCTTCATCTCGTTTTATGTGGTTACAGTGTGAATTAAGCTGCACGTGTCCTGGTTATGACACGTACATGTCTTTGGAGGCAGTTTATTTGGATCGTTAGGTTCATGACTGGGCATGTGTGGGAAAACCAAATCTTACTGTTGAGCCCACAGCCCATCCATTTAACCATTCTTCTTTTTTGTTGTCTCCCATAATCTGCTTCCCAGTGCTGAGGGATGTAGGTGTTTTTGGCTGTGTTGAGTGATGTAGGTACGTGTGGCTGTCCATTGGATGCTCCCTGTTCTGCTAGCTTGTCCACTCTTTCCTTTCCTGTTATATTGTGGTGTCCTGGTAGCCATTGTAAGATTAGCCTGACTGCATAGGTTTATCAGAAGTAGTGATCTTACTGCTGTGAGATCAAGATGCTCGGCTGACTGAAGTATTAATTTACAGTCAGACAAGATAACAACATGTCTTTGTTTGCTGGGATAAACTATTAAGGTTCCAGGCGGGTGGTGTAATGCTGCTTCAATAGCAGTTGCTTCTGCTTTATAACTCCTGCCGAATCGGCCTGCAAGGACTGCAGTGCGCGTCACATGATCGGTCTGGTTGCTCCGCTCTTACGGCCACAGCCTGCATGGTAAGGCGCCTTTGAAAGCTGACCCATCTGTTTTTATTTGGATTATATCAAGTGGGCAATGGGTAAGATGCTGTGTGTCATTGGTCTGCACTTTTCTTTTCAATTTTTTTGCAAATAGGTCTGTTTTGATATATGCCTTTGTAAATGTTGGTTTTGGGATATGGTTTAGTTATGATTTGCAAGTTTTCCATGTCTGTTTGTAGGTTGTGTTTCTTATCAGTTTTAGAGGCCATATCTGGTATTCATTTATGTTTACTTCTATGGTTTGGTCACCATTTTTCAAAACCATTTGTGAATTTGGTTGTTGCTTGTCTAGGCTTCTCTACCTTTCAACCATCTCAATAACTGCTGCCTCTCTAATTAAGATTTATTGGCTCAATAGTAGTATGTTTTCCCATGCTGCCGTTGGGGTAGATTTTAGACACCTCTGAGACGAAATTGACTGCCTGGCTTTTTACTTTATCTTAAGAGTCATGCACTCTCTTGCTGCAGATTGACTGTAGCGCAAAACTGTATTCCATTACTTATCGCACATATGCTATGAGCAACTGGCGCAGTGTGGTCCTATCACTGCCCCATGAGGTATTGGCCAGGCAGTGTGGTCCTGTCACTGCCCAAGAAAGTACTGGTCAGGCAGTGTGGTCCTGTCACTCTCCCATGAAGTACTGGTCAGGCAGTGTGGTCCTGTCACTGTCCCATGAAGTACTGTTCAGACATTGTGGTCCTGTCACTGTCCCATGAAGTACTGTTCAGACATTGTGGTCCTGTCACTGCCCCATGAGGTACTGGTCAGGCAGCATGGTCCTGTCACTGCCCCATGAGGTACTGGTCATGCAGTGTGGTCCTGTCACTGCCCCATGAAGTACTGGCCAGGCAGTGTGGTCCTGTCACTGTCCCATGAAGTACTGGCCAGGCAGTGTGGTCCTGTCACTGTCCCATGAAGTACTGGCCAGGCAGTGTGGTCCTGTCACTGTCCCATGAAGTACTGGCCAGTTTTTAACAAGGTTTATTATGGTTCTTTTTCCTTTCAAGATTTGGACATGCTTTTTTTAAATTGAGTTGCCTATCTAACCGGACAGTTAGATGTGTCGGGTTGTCTTCTTTTTGGAGTATGGTGCCTTGTCGGGATAGTGTATATTCTGTTTGGCTACCTGGTAGGAATAGTATAATGTTCTGTTTGGCTACCTTTTCGGGATACAGATAGTGTAATGTTCTGTTTATCTACCTTGTGGCTTTTTGTGAAGCATACTGTCTTGGTGTTATTTACTTTCAGTTTCCACTTTTCACATTATACACTGAGCCTAATCAAGTCTTTTCATTAAGACGCCTTGCGCTTATACCTGTGTGATGCCACATCAAAGGTCATCTGTGTTGATTGCCTTCTCCACCTGTAGCTCCTCCGGTAGGTCATTGAGAAACCTTAGGAATAGGGTACAATACAAATCTCAATTCGCTCTTTTTTAAAAAAAATTACAGCCTGTTTTTGTTTTAAAATTCATTTGATTTGGTGTTGTTAGTGTCGAGAGAATGGGTCTGACCGCTACCTACGCCGTCCAGCACAGGTGTATATCCTGTATCCAGCCTGAAGAGAGGATGGCTGGGTCAGGTCTGCTAGGCATGTTGTGAGCTCTGTG